AAGTTTCCCATGGAATTATCGCTCTGTAATTTTTCTCATCAATGTTCTCGAAGAATTGGTGATATGCATATCATGTATCATAGCATGTGCATTGGTATTTTCCCCAAGGTATCTCACATTATGTGCATTATAAGATCTCTACCTATCTCTAGCAAGAGTAAAACCACTTCTCCTTCCTCTATTATTCCCAAATGGCCTTCTAGTAGTATGTGGATATCCATGAAACATATAACATGTATCCTTCATGTGACCGGGTATATGGTAGTAATCACAAACAACTTCTCTTCTATAATCCGACCAACTTGTTTTTATCAAGAAATTGCTTTGGTTGATACCGAGTTCCGAGTAGAATAAAATGTGCTAGGAGCTCCTAGATGTGTATTGATTCATCTTTGTGATTCTTCATTGGAAACCATACAATATGCCTAAGAATGAGTGGGCATATGCTCAATTAACAAAATTTGAGACCTCACAAATTAAAAATTATCATTCAAACCCATCAAGAACTCCATCACTTTATGTTATTGTGTATATTCAACAAAAGGCTATGAAACTTCATTGTGATAATGTGGACAGATACAAGTAAGTGTAGGAATCAAGGAATCAAAGAATCAAACTAATCCTAAAGATTGCTCAATTTTGAATATTAAACTGCTATGTTATTTGATCCTTGAAGTAGTGAATTAATTTCCTTATGCAAGGAAAAAATCTTTACTTCATATTGCTTATTAAATCTTTTTTCGAGATCTTTCCATACTTCTTTAGCATATTGATAATAAACCAGACCATTGAACAACTATGCAAAAATAGAATTTAACAACCAAACATGAACTAAAGCATTATATTTTTTCCCTTATACAAAGTCTAGTGAATCAAGATTTGGTCTTGAACACATTAAGAAGAAGAAGAAAATGAAGAAGAGAGTTGCCGCATAATTTTGTTTTTTAGTTTGTTACGTTTTGTAGCTTATATACATTTTTCCTTTTATCCTCTACATTTGAGCTAACATACTCCTATAAATTATGTTACCTTACTAAACTAACGATAGCAGTAGAGACACTAAGTTCGCCAGATAGATTTTCTACCTAAGTAATTTCTATAGTGGCAACAGCAACGACCCTATACTCGACTTCAGTGGTGAGTGAGCAATGGCGGGTTTTTTTTTTAAGCTCCAGTTAATTGGATTAGAACCCAAGAAGACGACGTAAGCTTAAGTAAAGTGACATGTATCAGCATCTCCTGCCTAATCAGCATCAAAAAAAGCCTGAAGAGAGGGGGTAAAGCGAGATGATAAGCCGAGACCAAAGTGTGAAGTTCCATTTAGGTATCTGAGGACTCGTTTTATAGCAGTCCAGTGATTAGAGGTGGGTTTATGTAGAAATTATGCTAGCTTGTTGACTATGAATCCTATATCAGACCTTGTAGGAGAGAGGTATTGAAGTTATCCTAAGAATTGTCTACATTCGATGACATTATGGTTGGGAGAGCCATCATACAGTTTGGGAGTCTCACTAGAGGAAAGAGGAGTGAAGATCGAATTTGTTGTATGCATATGAACTTTGTGAAGGAGATAAGGACATATTTACTCTTAGTTAGGAACATAATAGTTGAGGTTATGTGTGTTTCAACGCCTAAGAAGTAGCTTAGGTTACCCAAGTCCTTTAAGAAGAACTGAGATGTCAATAAGGAGATGAAAGATTGCAAAGAGGATGGATTATTATTACCAATAAGTATGATATCATCTACGTACACCAGTAGACACATGATACCTTTTGATATATTATGAATAAAGAGAGATCCATCACTGCGAGAGTTGACAAAACCATTAGTCAGAAGAAAATTTCAAAGTTCTGTATATCATGTTCGTGGGGCCTGACGAAGACCAAAGATGGCCTTGTTGAGTTTGCAGACATGATGAGGAGCCTTAGAGTCCGTGAAGCCTTGTGGCTGCTGCATGACTATAGTGTCAGACAAATTGCCCTACAAGAAGGCAATATTTACATCCAATTGCTTGAGAGACCAGCCACGAGTGAGCCACTGTCAGACTTAGTACTATACGGATGGTCTTTCATGGAAGCCTTTGGCAACCAACCAGGCTCTGATTCCATAAAAAAAGTTTATAGTAATGGCTTAGTATCCTTACTAGATTCTCTATCAGGGGTGACTTATCTTAGTCCTAATCCTTCTTTCCACTCGCTAAGGACGCATCATACTGCACTGAACTATTCATTATTTTCGTGATCTCGTACCTGCAAGAAAGCTCAAGTGTGCAGCATATTTCTTCACAAGACGAGCTTATGGATGCTTAACTAAAGCACTACCAAGAACAACGTTCAGTTAGCATCGAACCAAGATTGGAGTATCAGTGGAACCAGCTCAATCTTGTGTGGTTGCAAGATGAAACTTGTTACAGATTCCAACAAGGCAGATATATAACTCAATAATTTATAACAGAACAAACTTTTGACAATGTAGAAGTGTAAATTATATCAGTATAGCAGAACAAGCCTTTGATAATGGAGAAGTGTAAACTATATCAGTATAGCAGAACAAGTCTTTGATAACGTAGAAGTGTAAACTATATCAGTATAGAGGAGCTATGGTTTTGAATTTGTTTGTATCAAGGCTGATCAACCTATAACTAAATACATAAAGCGAACATCAATGATAATCTCAAGTTCCGCAACGGCTATAAGCTAGACCAAGTCAAAAAACCAAAAGATTGAAGTTAAGGACATCAGATTTTTCTTCCAGCAAGAAGTGGGCAAACTTTGTATTATCTGTTACAAATGCTGCACGGAGCCATGAGGAAGCTGCCTTTCTTAATCTTACAGGTTGCCGATTTCACTCTTTCACAGGTCTTAAGTCGGATATGAGATTATGCATCATCCTTTTTTTCTTTTTCTAGCAGCAGCATGAGGAGGATCGATGCATCTATACTGATTGATTGACCGAAAAGCACACAACAATGACAATCAGAAACATCCATGTTCTTGTTGGAGTAATTATCAAAAAGCAAAATATTGATTTCTTACAAGTATGTATAATTCTTATAATGTTGTGAATTTATGCCGAACAAAACGCAGTGCTTCTTATGATGTTGTGAAATCATGTTTTAATGTGTAAGAAACTTCTAGAGAAGAGGGCGAGGGCAATTGCACTGTATTACTTTTATGCAACCCAAAATGTTGGCATGAATGAAGAGATCATAGAGACTTTACCTAAGCAAGCATTCAGAAGTCTTAATGTTGACGCATGATGTCTCTGTGTTCTTCATTTTATTTTATCCGAGTCTAATTTATGACACTAGTTTGGTTACTCGGTAGATGCAAAAACTGTTCTGCCACCACTCAAAATGTGCTTCATGCTTGCAACTTATAAATTTTCAGGTTCTTAGTGTGAGTAATATTCTTGTGAATTTTGGTTGTGAAATTAATCCTTCTAATGGCACTGCACTGTTTGTGTCATGTAACAAGTTTATTAGAAACCTACTGCAGGCTTTAGATCTTGAATCTAAACCAGAATCACTCATTTCACCACTTCCTAACAGGTAACTTTCGGGGTCTTAAGCAAGAGATGTGGCCTGAAAAGCTCTTTTTTTATCCTAAAATATCACGAGTCTAAATGTTCGGACTAATCTCTCGTTGTTGGGTTGAACGAACAAGATGGGTATAACTATCCTATGAGTTTTCTGCATACACAGAAACTTGAACTCGAGACCACTTGCTTCGGTGACTTGAGTTCCTTGCACTCAATCCAACTCTCTTAGATAGCCCGAAAAGCTTTGAACTGAATTATCTTTAACAATTTGAATGGGTCAACATAATTTAACTTTGACCTATTCCTTTCCTTTGTTTCTCTAAATTTTAAAACTTGAAAGGTTGTTATTTTTTCTTAGGTTTTTCTTGGTTAAATTTATAGAGAGCAAAATCTTCGGATGGAATGGTTGGCCGGTTAAGGATTCTATTCTGCTATTGGTGTGTAATTTCGTATTTCTTTCCTAAAGTGTACAATAATTCATGATTTTTTATATCGAAATACCATTGGAGTAGCTATTCTTAGGAGTTGGGACTAGGGTGATCATTCGATTTTTCGGTTTGATTTTAGTTTTTTTTTTTGGTTTTCGGTTAACAAAATTAACTAAAACAAAAACGAAACCAAACCGAATTGAGGTTCAATTTTTTGGATAAAAAACCAAATTTTTTGATTCGGTTTTTATGTTTTCGATTAAAAATCAATTTTTTTTGGCATCTTTTCTTATGAATTTTAAACTATCTCTTAGACCAAGCTAAAAGACCAATTTTTTATAATTATTTTTTCAATTTTCAAGGAATGCTAATAACTTGAATTGAAGTTTTAGCAAAGAAAATCATAAAAAAAAAATGTCACGACTAGAGTCCGGGTGGTCTCTTATCTATTAAAAATTCGGATATAACGGCTTAAATAGTGCTTATTCCTTATTAATTTGATACCAAAGAGCTTGTAACTCAGTGGTAGCGATCTCTTGTAAGAGGTCATGGGTTCAAATCCTAATAAACTAGTTCTACTAAGAGCCTTAAGTATGTGTGTTAAAAAAAAAAAAAACCACAATTTGGTTTTCGGTGAAAATCAAATTTTTTAAAAAAACCAAAATAAAATAATTTCGGTTTCAGTTTTTAATTTTTTTGTAAAAAATCGAACTAAATTTACTAATTCAATTCAATTTGATTCAATTTTAACTAAATAGTGCTCACTTCTAGTTGGGACTGAGGAAATATCATGGAACAACATGTCGTTCTCATCCCATCTCTATCAAATGACGTGTCTTCTAGGCTAACTAACTAACAAGTCGGGCACTTCTCAACGACTTGTCATTCCATAAGCATCTATATAAATAAATAAACAGCAGCACAAACCCTCTACAACATCAACTCCAGCTCCAAAAACCAAACAAACAGTTTTCTCTCTCCAAATACTTCTCCAAGAACATAAAGAAAAGAAAAGAAAAAACTTGCAGCAAGATGAGTACCATGAAATTTTGCCGTGAATGGTAAAAACACCTGTTCTTTTTATCAAACATTCACTTTTTTTGTGGGTTTTTAATGAATGAATGAATTAATTGTTTAATGTTTTGCAGCAACAACATTCTGTACCCTAGAGAAGACAGAGATCAAAAAATCCTCCTCTACGCTTGCCGCAACTGTGATCACCAGGTTTAGGCTTTATATTATAATTATAATTCAATATAAAACTAAACCCATTTCTTATAAAAACAAACCCTAATCTTCCTTTTCTTCGGTCTTTTTGTGTGTTGCAGGAGGTAGCTGATAATAACTGTGTGTACAGAAATGAGGTGCATCACTCAGTTGCAGAAAGAACTCAGGTATTGCAAGATGTAGCTGCTGACCCTACTCTTCCTCGGACTAAAGCTGTTACTTGCACTGTCTGCAAACATCCTGAAGCTGTCTTCTTCCAGGTTAGTACTATTTTTTATGCGCCAATGGGATTTTTTTTTTTTTTTAATATTTGGTATCTGGGTTTGTTAGCTTTATATAGAATTTTATAGGTACGCTTGTTCACTGTTCTTTGGAGAAAAAATGTTTGCGTTATTTTGATGGGTGGATGTGCTCAGTTGGGAAAAAAGCAGCAGCAGTTTTTATCCGAAATTGAATTGAATAAGAGCAAAAAACATAGGCATTAATAAAGGGGAACCATGATAGGTTATGACTCAGGCTTGATTTTTTGGGGGTATTCTGTGAAAGGTTGCTAAAGCATATTTCCAGGCGAAGTGGAAGGAGTACGCTTTATCTAACACAATGTCATATGTTGTATTGCACATTCTTTCTTTTATGCCAATACAAATGAGATTAGATTAGCATGTACTGAATTGGTTCCTTGTTTTTCCTCTCTTCATATGCATGTTTCATTGTTTCATGTTCATTTATTTGTTATGGATCCCCCTATATGTCTCAAGTAAAATATATATTTACATATAAGACAAGCTACACTCTGTTAGAAGTTCTTCTTTGCTGTTGCAGGAATTATATTTGAGTTGTTTATTACTTTAAGATCAATTTTAGAATTCCTCTAAATTTGCGCCATGGCAATTTGGTTCTAAATTTTTGTGATATCTCGTGTTTAATTTTGACGAACTACTTTTCTTGAAAGATCTCTTTCATATAGATAGGTAGAAAATGCCTTTATTAATATTCTAATACACGGCCACCCTTTTCTAAAACTCAAGCTTTTGACTTTTCCTTTAAGATTCAAGTGCACGGTAGAATCTATCATAGGGAAAGCTTGGACTCACAATAGGCTGTCATGTTTTCACTTTTGGAATCACATTTCTCTCCAGTTTGTCTATGTATGTACCTGCCAGTTTGTTGCCATTACGCTCGCAGATGTCCAATATTAATTCATCTTCGACTTGTGTTTTTGGGTGAATCCAAGTGCAAGCAAGCATTGGACAGTACCATATATTTGAGAACTTTGTTTTTATTTATAAGTTATTTAATATTCAATTGTGCTTATTATTAAGATCATTAACTTGTTGCATTTTTTATATTGTGCTTATTATTAAGATCATTAACTTGTTGCAATTTTTAACTGGCCTTATAGTTACATGAAGTAGCAATTCTTCTAAGTTCTAATCTGAAGTTTTCTTCAATTATGCAGGCAACTGCTAGGGGGAGGAGGGTATGACGCTGTTTTTTGTATGCTGCAACCCAAATTGTGGCCATAGGTGGAGAGATTGAGATTTTATCTGCCCACCAATTAAAGCTTTTAACATGATTGATTTAGAAATATTGCCTTCCAGACTGATCTAGTTGAGACCCCATGTGCGGGTCTTTTAACTGCTCATTCTGTGAATGGATACTTTTGCAGTCATTTTGTACGTTTCCATATTAATATTCTGGTTAACCCTGAAGAATTCTATATCATCATTGAGTAACCAAATCTTGAAAGCCAACCTTTATCGGTTTAACTATTTCAGCAAAATGCTATTAAAATATGGGGAAAAAGAAAAAGAGAGAGAAGAAAGAAAATCTTACTCTGGTCAGGATATTTTTAAGCCTCACAAATGGTGTCCCAAAGGTTCGTTCGTTCAACTGTTGGGGCGATTCGTGTGCCACAGAAGCAGTCTAACTTGAATTTATTAACAAATAATCAGATTCTGGTAAACTTGTTTATAAAAGCGCTTATCAGTTTCATCAGTTTAATCTCTCTAAATCTTGTGATTCGTGGACAAAGTCGAGGTTACCGAATCTTTAGGGTAACGGGGTTAAACAAGAATATTACCTATCAGGAAATTTGAGAACACTGGCTCAAACTGGGCATTTGGAGAACAGGAACTAAAACGCGAACCACGTCAGCAACAAAGCCTCAAGATTTTGACAAGATCTGTGTTTCTTTTTTATTATTAATGATGATGCTGACAGTTTTTTATACAAGAAAGAATCTTCCAGTGGAAATTATTCCACAGCAATCAGCTACTTTACCCTGAGATCTCTTATCTCCTCTAAAAAAGAAAAAAGAAAAAAATACTGATTCCCAAAATTGAAGCTAAAGGGCAAAATACCTTCTAATAAAAAAAAATTATATACAAAAAATAAGGAGGGTGGGCCGAACTAATATCTCAACAAATTTGGAGCTACAAAGAAGATAATGTCCGTGCAAACCAGTTTGATAAACGTCTCATTTTCGTCAAGAGATCTCCGTTCTTCTCAAAGTATGATTCCGCGTTTGACACTGTGACCTCAAAGTCATGCTTCAATGCCTCCAAGCTTCTATAGTAGTTGTTTTCTAACCTTGACTGGATCACTTCAAGAGACAATGGAACTGGGAACCTGGGAATTTCAGGGATCCAAACACCGGCTCAAGTACCCAAAATTTTGCAAGTTACATTCAATATATAAGGGAATTGTTTTCACATTTACTAAGACATCGTTAATGCTAATACTTGCTTCTTGAGAAAAAACCATGTCTAGTGGGGGGAAAAAAAGGATAACAAGAGAAGCAGGAAAAAGAAAATACCTGTTGGTAAAATTAGACTTCTGTGAAACTTGCCTTAGCTTTTCAACCCCATAGTGATCCTGAAAATGTGCAAAAAAAAAAAGAAAACAAATCAGAAAATTCCCTGCAATATCTTCGAATTGTTTTACTGGCCACTTCTAAACATTTACAAAGATCTTGTACGAGAAATTTCTTTTTGTCACCCTCCTGCATGATTACCTGGTCTTTCTTGCCTGATCGCTCTAATTTGGCAAAGGCAGACAACAACTTATTCATGACCTCTTCATCTATATGAGGCTGCTCCAACTTAGTACCATCATCAAAAAGCTCCCAAGGACTGTGTTGATGCAGTTCTTTGGGATCACTCTTGTACTGAACAGTACACCTCTCCCATGGACTGTCAGGAAACTCAGAAGATTTGGGCTTTGTATATAGAACCCGGCCATACCACCAATCACCATCTTCTTCACCTTCATTTTTCCACCAGACCTTACATTTATCCCTGCGACTCCAATTCCTCTGTATGGCAGCATCAAACCGAGTTCTCTCAACAAGAAAATCTGGGAAGCCTGTCATTTCAGGTAGAGTTAACTTGAATGATTTCTGAAATGCGCTGGAAGTAGGATCTACAAATCTAAGTGTCATTTTGCAGCAACCATCACCAGATCCTGCAAGTGCAGCATACTCAAGGGCTTCAACCTTACAGAATTCAACTGCCCTTATGTTTCCCTTCACTGCCTTCCAAGGGCCTGCTTCTTTAGACTTCATGCAGTCTATGTACTCTTGATGGCCCTGAAAAACAAAGAAGCTTCCGATATAAATCATTTAAATCATAAGACCTAAATTGCAATTATCCAAAGACAAGAATCAAGAAAGAACTTTAGCACCTCTTCCAACTAACCTGTCTTAAGTATGCTACTTCATCGCCTTGTTGGGGGATATAACGAGAGCCCTCCTCATGCATTGACAACATTAACCATGATGCTCTTTTGGCTGACTGATGCAACTTCCTTCCATCTACTGGACTTGTGTCGCGAAAATGATAACTGGCTTTCCTGTTTCTAGTAGATCTCAATCGAACTGTCATCCTTGAGCTAGATCCCCATTCTTCACGTGGAAGCTGACATCTATTAATGGAACCATTGTGGGTATCTCTGCATGTATCATCTGATTCATGTCCCTGCCCCAACTGGAGATTATTGCTCGCAATATTTGCATCATGTGTGGGTGCCTTCAAGCCATGAGATCCACCAATTTTGCCTTCATAGGAATCCCCTCTGGAATCAAGATGAGGGTCACAAGCACTTGAAGTGTCTTCTCTTATGATGCCATCACCTTCTGTGCTAACTCTACCTCTACCTGGCTTTGACCTTCTATAAACAACATCAAACATCTTTTTGGGATGTGAACAGGACGCCACTGAGTCGTCCAAGGGTGGCATGGAAATTTCACCAATCCGAGTATCCAATTCTTCCAATCCATCACCTTTATATTCTGGAGTAATTCCATTGGAGCCATCATGCTCCAGCATCTCCTTGACTGGATTCTGTGTCATGTTTGCAGGCTTATCAGTAGGTAAATCGCATCCACCATTTCCCTGATTATCTAGTGAATCCTTCAACATCTTTTTCGATCTTATCCTTATCTTAGTTGAGAAAGATGGGAGGCTCTCTCTGAGATCAGGAGGGTTATCATTTCCATTAGCCATGTGACCCAGGTTTGGTAATTTATCAGAATCCACAGACCCATTGCAGGTTGGGTGCTCTTTACCATTGGACATATCATTTACAGCCTCAGAGGTATCAGCAACAGCATTCCTTCCATTCACTGGTACAACTCCTCCATTGTCCGAGTTATTCTGCACTTCTAAACTAGGGGATATTGTGCCATTATCCTCCTTAAGTTTCGAGTATCTGTTGAGAATATTTTCATTTTCATTGTGTTCACCGAGGCATGCACTAGATCCAGTATATGTTGCTGATGAAATGGATTCTCCCAATCTCTGACGCTTAGAAGTGCGAGCTTTTACACCTCCCCATCTGATATCCCCATTTTTGTATCCTTCTGACAGGTCCAAAGGATAATTGTCTATCTGTGCTCTTCTTCCTCCATCCATTATGCTGTCATGTGCATCACAAGAAAAATATCCAGGATCTTGAGAGCTTGTAGGAACCCCATTTACCTCGGTGGCTGCCTGGGGAGTTTTGGACGATGATCCAACCAAATCAACCTGGTCATCATACTTATGTATTCCACTGTCTGGGAGCATAATCTTACTAGAATCACGAACTGGCAGTTTAAGGACCAACCTCCTCCTATTTATAGTATTCATGTGAGATTCAATAAGTTGATGTGATTTAGCAAAGTCTTCAGACTCTTCCAGGATATCTTTTCCTTTCAAATTCCTGTTTTCCTCATCGTGAAAAGATCTATCTGATTCGTCACTTTCACTTTCAATATTTGAGTCTTGCATTCCAGATTCAGTTTCTGATACGTCGCCTTCGGAGCCATCTTCATCTTCTCCATCTGTAGCTGTTCCAGTAATTTTTGAAAACAAACTAAGCGCATTGCGGGCAGCAGCTCTTTGAGGCCTCAAGGCCTTTGAAATGGAAGATTTCCTCTTTGAAGCTTTCCGACCAATCCTTGATTTCCTAATTCGGTTGCTTCTCATTGAGTTTCCATCACACTCATCTAAATTCTTTCTTTTAACACGCCTCCCGGAAGCAGTCATTATCTCAATCTGCAAAAAAGTGGTGGCAAGAAGATTGAGTTAGCAAGTCAAGCAATCCAAAATTTTGAAAGAGAATTATTAAAAAACACTTACTTCAGCCTTTTGTTTTCTCCTTTTAGATCTTCGGAAACCATCCCTGGCCTCAGCCTCACTGTCTTCTGCACTATCCTCTGGTTCAACAGAGGAACTAGAATTTGAACTTCCTTGCTCGGCCTCAGAAGAATGCTCTTCAGGGGCATTGTACTCTGAATCATTGTCATCACTTTGCATATCATTTTCTGGTTCCCAATCCATGGCATCTATAAACTCAGGCAGTGGCTCAACCAATACATCCAAGTCAGCCAAGGGGAGAATTTGGTTATCCGGATCTAGACTAAAGTCTGGTCCAACAGCAAATCTTATAGAAGATGGCTTCCACTCCACACCCAGAGCTCCTAATCGTCTCTGCTGGTACATGCTCTGGTAAGGTTCTGTATAAGGAATCATCCCTAGAATTCTCGAAAACAACAAGCACTTGAGAGAATGTAATTGCACATAACATATGCCATAAGATTTCCATAATGATAAAAGTTTCCAAGGTGAAATTAAAACCTGAGTCACAAAGGAGATCCTGCATATTCCGCCGGAATGGTACCAGCTGAGTTTCCTGAATTAGATGTTTCACATTGTTAGAGATGGGGAAGTGAACACAACGAAAAGTAACTATGTAAAGCAGAACTTCAGTACTACATCAGTACATCTCATCCGCAGTATCTTTTGGGTCTACATCAGTCAAAATTTCAAAACCAACAATTATACCAAAGAGTATTACTATTACAATCATTTATAAAGTCATGCATTGACAACTATAACTCTGCTTATGGATATGCATGTGTGCATGCAAACAATAAGTAATTGCCACAGGCAGCAAAAAGACATGATAAGACTTGGTAGTTTAGAATTAGGGTTACAAAAGGATGAACAAGAATTTTTCACAAGTATGGAACTCGACAACAAAACTCAATGAATGCAAAAAGAACTTAAAGCATGCTGCCTTACAATCAAGATGTTACGTTCCCTATAATATAAAGCCCTTCTCCAGGTGCATGTTTCTTGATAATATATATGATGTGGTGCATAATAATACATCGGCTTGCTGAAGCCCCCAAATTATAGACAGCTAGCTAACCTGGTCAAGTACATTTCCATAGGTATCTTGTATCAGAGGCCGATAATCACCAAGGAAGAACTGTAAAGAAGTGTACACAAAGTGAGTGTCATAATGCATTACCAGAGACTCAGTTCTCAGTGGAACCAACAAAAACATGAGTGGGCTATTTATAACACACCTGATCATATTTAGCATCCTTTTGCGACTCGCCTTGGCCTGTATTTAATATGTACAACTGACCCACATCATCCGAAAGTATAATAGATGTCCCATCCCTATTATAAAAGCAGTATATAATAATCATGACAGCAGCAGTAAGGTTGCAAGAAATTTACAGACATATCCACCAGCATTTTGATTGAGTAGAATTGAGATAAAAAAATAAAAGCAGACAATTAAACTCCATCTCAAGGATAATAAACTACTTATACAACAAATAATCATGCAAAACTGAGTTAATATTGCTAGGTTGAAATGCCTATTTGAGACCTGAACATGGATTCATAATCACATAAGATTCATCTGACATTCACTTAGATGATTCAAGTCCAGGAAAAGTTTGAACTTTACTGAACTTGTAAAATAATCAAGAGGCTAAAAGGAATCCAATTGGTTTTGATGATTGAACTAGTGGCAGGTTAAAGAATCAATGCTCAATCTGTGGCTACGTTGGTGTTCAAATTTGATTATGCATGACCTAGCAGGAGAAATCAAAACAAGGTCAAGTTAGAAACAAGGTCTCAAAATTAGGTTTGACCTCACCCAGGACTCTTCCTGAAATTATTAATTGGATTTATTTTAACTGTTAAGAGGAATTAATTGAAATCTCAAAGTTTCCCTAAAGTTGAAAAATCTCAAAACGCATTTCTCCTGAAGGAACCTACCAAAAAATATATGAATATGAATGCCACTGCATTTTAATGAGATGATACTGCAGACAAATTAGGAACAGCGCAACTTTAAAGCCTAAAGTATCATAATATGGTTTGTCAAGAAGCAAAGGCAATAATAGTATAAAATAAATAAATAAATTGAATTTTTTAGCTGGTTTATGACAAGTGAAGGGGAAATTATGGAATACCAAACCTCAGAGCAGGAAAATGTCAAGTGAACTTGAAAAGCCAGTGCGGAAATCAAAATTGATACACTAGCCTAGCTACAAGGAGTTAAGAAATAATTTCCCCAAACACCAACGAGAATCTTTCTCCACATAACTTGAAACAAAGAAGATAACAGTAAATTAAATGGTCTAGAAAGCTAGCTTCCATTTTAGAAATTTAAACTACCATAAAACAATGAAAGATTGGTACGATTCATTAGATGTCATTGGAAGAGTAATACCAGCAGAATCAACAAAATTAGAGATTCTATATTAAGCATCAATAGCCACTTACGGTGAAAACTTTCCATCAACCAATTTGAAATGTGATATTTCGTAGATCCGGATGGGTGTGCCCTCCCAAATCTAAAGAAAGAAAAAAATATAAATGCACATAATAACCACATAAAGGTATTAGAATATAAAATGAGCTTCAGCAAATTGAAGACTCACATCCCACACTATTGTTTTTCCATCATAGCCAGCGCTCATAGCTATTCGTGGGTTGAAAGGATGAACATCAAGAACATATGTCTGCCAAGAACACAAATGACATGAAAATGCTGGACACATCAGGTGAGTAACTTGTGAAAAGTAAGAGAATCCAACACAATATGTATAAGATAAACAGCATTGATATGAAACACAGGAAACTGAGAAATGAGAGCAAAATGGAAAATAGCATCCTTCTAAGGGAATAGGTAAATTTCAGCTATTCTACAAGGATCTCATCATAGAAATGTGACACGGGTAGAAGTCGGAATTTGTAAGAATCACCACATCAAAGGAGACCAAACACAAGAAAGCATTGATCTCTACCAACAGTGATCATAGAGGTAAAAGATGCCAGGAAACAGGCTTTGAATAAAAATGTATCTTTGGTCCTTGTATAGAAACAGAATGGGGAGGTAGAAAAATTGTCAAAATTCAGCAAAACATGCTTTTGAAATGCTAAACCATACACATAATGAATAAACAAACCATTTCTAAAGTAAAAATGGGTAGAGGAAGCAAGAATCTGCAAAACAAGGTACCAATTTCTTCTAGTAAATGAGGCAGGAAAAGTTTGACTCGTAAAACAATTAAAATCATATTTTATTCTCTTTTCGCTGATAAGAGCTTAAAATCTTACAAAATCCCTTTAGAACTAGAATCAGCAATGAATGAGAGATAGCTAAACATACTGATAAACTGAGGTCATTTGGAGAAAATATATAATACATTTGAACCAACAAACATAAAACACATGTAGTGGCAGCAAAAACTAATCTATTCTTTTGCAACCCTTCTCAGATTTTGGCCATCAACTTAAAAGAAAACTCACTTAAAGTTAGTTATCTGGTGATATAGCACAACAACAAGAAACAAATATAAAATTAAGAAAAATTTACTCCACTTGACCTACAGAAAAAGCATACTAGCACAATGCATTTACAGCAGTTGTAAAACTTACAAGGAGAATCATGACGGATGATCAATCAATGGTTAAGATTACCCCATGAATGTACCAGTCCAAAAATCATAGGAAGAGATGATAACACAGAAATTGTTGAACGAAAGGAACATATCAGTCATCCTAACATGTAACTAAATATGGACAGTTCAACATTTACATCCTAATTAAGAAGGAAAAAAAGATACCTGCTAAAAAAAAGGAGGAACCACTTACAGATTGAGTATGACCAGTCAAAGAATGCACCAAACTACCATCAGCAGCATTCCAAACACATATTCTGCAATCTGCACAAGAATCATCACCCCTACACAATTAACTTACAGAAAATACTAACTATATTTCCTACTACAACAAAAAACGTAGTAGAATCCAACATAGTTCTGAAATTACATGAAGGAAAGGATCAAGATTTATATTTGATTTTTTGGAACAGTCAATTACAAGAAGGAAATGATCTAGATTTTATTTTTTATTTTTTGGCAGGGAAATTAGCACAAAAATATCCGTAGGCACTTTTGCAGAGCCATTGAAATTTAAAATTTGTTGTCCGTGCCCAAATCCATCTGCGGGCACATGAGCATAGAAAGATTGAGAAATTACATAAAAATCATCAAGTAATGCTCTTTCCAAATAATGACCAGTAAAAAGATGAACTATAAACAACAGTGAGGATTCGATGCTTGAAAGTTTCAATGACAACAAGTAAATTTCTTCCATTTTGGATAAGTGAAACAGACAGCTGCCCTGCTGCTCTGACAATGTCCCTGAACTTGCCCAGGAATCAAAGGGTGTGAATAACATTCCCATGGCTTCCAATTTGCTTAAAACTAGATAACCTGCTACCCAGAACAATACAATCCACAAGTAACAAGTGCAATACAATCCACAAGTAACAAGTGCAACAGAAAATGATAGTTGTTGTGATCTTAAAAACACCTATACCAACACCAACGAAAAGCATAAGCCTGTTCAGAATTACAGCCTTGTTTTCCTTTCCTTTTTTGAATTTCTCCAACACTCTAGGAACTTAAAGCATTTAGCAACAGAAATAGAAAGGGATATGATAACATAGCCATCAAATAGCGTATATCTACCGCAAAGCATGAATCGTAGAGCCTAAACAGTGAGTGTCAACTAAAAAATCATTTTGCCATAAAAGAAAATTTTGTTAGAAGAAAATGGGAACACTTGTGAATTTTGAAACAGGTTGGCTTATATGGTGATGCCTACAGATTGATAAAACAACCACTGGGCATGGAAAAGGACAAGCCTCTGTATTACGTCCCCCCTCCCCCTCCTTCGAAAAAGAGAACTGAAGGATCAAAGGTAGCTGAGTTTATATAGCTGCACACACATCAATCCACGAATATGTACATGAATACTTGTAAATGAAAGAAGCATTACCCATGATAGCAGCAAGGACAAAACGATTATCCAGACTCCACACGATCATGTTTACCCCACGAGGTGTTGGAAGAATTCTCTGTCGTGGACCTCCTCGTGGAGGTTGAGGAGGCATTGGTGGAGGAGGAACTTTCAGATGATAATGTCGTATCCAACGGCCAGCTTTCCCCTTCAAAAATAAAGAAACATATGTTTGTTGTTCAGAAATCAAGAGGGAATTCTGATATTGCTCAAGATCACATCGTCCCACATTGAACCTCATAGGAAGTAATTGACCGACTCTCACTTCCTTGAGAAGAAAGAAAACCATGAGGCAGGGAGGGGTAACATAAATAGAGGTCATTTACATGTGATCTACGTGATTTTGGAATCCAAATAATTGCACTGCCATCTCGAGAACAGGTAACAATGCTGTCGTGAGAATACCTGACACATTTAATTACAAAGCCTATTGTCAATAGATCTAATAACTATAACAGAAGGGAGTGATACATTCTCACAAGAAAAATAATGCGAACAAAAATAAGCAGCTAATAAAAATTCCATACCATGAATTTTTAAATTTTGGAATATTCTCTTCCTTTGGGCAGTCAGCCATAGAAAATCTAGATGGCACAGCACAACCACTGCAAAGCAAAGCAGTATCCTATGTCAGCATTCTAAACTTTTTAATGGCAGCATTTGCATAGAACAAGAACCACTTGCCTAAATTGGACATAGTTAACATCATTCTCATGGCCAGGTAACACATCTATCTCATGATTTGGCAGGTCTGAATCATCTGTGTTGGATTTAAGAGCATTCCACACCTGCAAGTGAGGAGATATTACTTACAAGCTATTCAATGTTTAATTGATAATATAGAAGCACAAAGATCATTCGCATCAGTTCTCCCAAAACCAATAGTCAGATCACATATAGAAGATAAAAATAGGATAACAACTATGCAGAAGTGCGAGCACACTAAGGGAATTTAAATATACCCTAGCAAGGTGGTCAGAGCTACCAGTGACAAATACAGTTCCATGAGCATTAAATGAGCAACAAAAAATCTGATGTCTCTGAGGACCACTGTTCTTTCCTGCAGCCATTCCATAGTTCTTGTAAGTTCTTTTGATAAATGAACCAGTTCATCAATCAAGAGTTTGAAAGAAAAGGTAACTAACCAGCCACTGGATCTGGAGGCCTTGGAACATATATTCTTGTACCTAAGTTGGAAGACCTGGCATCCCAAATCCTACATGTTCCATCATCAGAAGACCTGCAAAGCATGACTAAAAGCTATAAATGATTGCATAGGACAGGTCATGATGAGTCTGCACTGTAATTTTCGAGGTAGTGGTGCCAACTTTTGAAAAAAGCAAAATGCAGATTTTTCCAGGAAAAAAAATTCCAAACATAAAACTACATAATTTTACATGCATCAAAAATCACATGAATGCAAGGGAAAACCAACTACTATATGGTTACTGAAATAAAGACAGAGAATCAAAATTCACTTGAAACAATGCCGACATTATACTCCTTAGGGCCTAAACTTAAACAAATCAACCCCAACTAAATCTTGATCATAACAAATGAAGTGGGATATGTGAGTTGTTTGGGCTGCAATATGGATATCTGTTGACAACCACAAAAATAATTGATGATCTGAAGTTCTATAAGACAAGAAGATGCAGATACCATGCAACAAATTTAAACATGACAAGGAAAAAGAAAAACTCTACAAAGTTAAAGATCTAGAGAAGAAAACAGAGATATATGGATTAAATTTCCCATTAATTTCCGGATACAAGAGTTCAAGTTGCAAACCATCTCTATCAACTCGGTTCATGGTTGGCACCTGGCTTTTCCTCAAATCATAAAAAGGTTTCAGATGGGAAAAAAAGTAGGTCTGGATTCAAACCAAACAAGTGATAAAATAAAGTCATGCAGCAATTACAGTGGCATGTTCCAATATAAAGATTCCTCAAAACAATAGAGTCATCCAGCATAGTTTTAAATAGCGGTCGCAATTGAAAAAACAGTTGCGATCACCATCATGGATCATGATAATAAAATAACAGTCACAACAATCGATGTCGTAAATACATTAGCAATTGTTAATAAATTTATTCTAATTAACATATTTTTACCAATTTTACTAATCACGCATACTAATTAATAATAATATCTCTAATAACTTAATATCATACAACAATACTTCAATTTATTATAAAAAATGGTTAATAACACTTCTCATAGATTAATATCACATAAAAAATAATAAAATACATTACAGCTTCAATATCCACATTTGGTGAAGGATGCATTTTTTCTTTCAACATTTGATCACATGCAATAAAATTCAAAGGCTTCCAGCCAAGCCTTTGAATTTGGTACGAGATTAAATTATACATTAGTCCTTCAAGTTTTGATAAATAAATTAATTAGTCCTTTATGTTTCAAATACTAACTATTTAATCTTTTTATAAGTATTGACTGTGTTTAATGTAATATATTTTATTTCACAAAATTTTTTCCATCAATCTTTTCATGATGTAAATTTATTTTTTTACTTTTTCTAATTTTTAAAACAAAAACAAATTAAAAATAACGTAAATTGAAAAAGAGGACTATATGATAGGCTTTAAAAACAAGAAAGAACAACTAATTTATTTGTTCAAACTACAGGAACTAATTTATAATTTACTCTATTAAAGCCTTGAATTTGTGCACGCAAGACAGACAACCTAAAATTTAGTAGAATAATAAAGAGTAAATTATACATTAGTCCCTCTAGTTTCGATAAATGAATTAATTAGCTCTTAATGTTTTAAAAACTAATTATTTAATCTTTTGATCAGCATTGATCATGTTTAATATAATATATTTTATTCCACAAAATATTTTCCTTTTTCATCAATCTTTCATGATATAAATATTTGTTCTTTTTTCTATTTTTTAAAATAAAAGGAAAAATAAATTAGAAAACAATATAAAATGAAAAACAATAACTAAATTATTGATTTTTGTATAAAAAGGCCCAACAAAATTATTTTTTCAAAATAAAAGGACTAATGTATAATTATTTAATCAAAGCCTGCAAATGCAAGTCTTTGATTCTTATTCTCTGAATGAAGTCTAATCTTCACGTGGGTTGGGGTCATTTTCCAAGTTGGGTCTCTGCCTCTCTGGCTGAATTTCTAGGCTTTTTTTAAAAAAAATAAGTGTAACATCGTTATCTAATGGTGTTACATAACGGTAACACCGTTATTTGTCATTATCCCTGTGAAAACAGCATCGAAGCATCTATAACGCCGAATAACAGTGATGGGGTACCCTGATTCCGTTATATAATGACTATTACATTACAAAATGGCCATTTTTTAAAACTATGATATCCAGAGGTAGTAGATTCATGAAACAAAGGACAAAATCTCAGAATTGTAGAAGATGCATAGCATAAGAAGATTGCAATCATTCTTACGACAAAAGCTGGTATGCAGAACCAGGTCTGGGACTAAATGCAATGGCAGTGACAGCTGCAGAGTGCCCACGCAGAACTGATATTGGCATCCCATCTGGCAAACGCCACTGCCCAAATCCAGATATAGCAATCAAACATTGGGTATAAAGAGAATAAATAGGAAGGCCTTAATTTTTAGAAGAAAAAGAAGCTTACAACTCGAATTATGCAATCATTTGAAGAGGATGCCACCAAGGTATTGTTTGAATTTACAGCCAAGTCAGTAATGTCCCCCTTTCATACACATATTGAGATGCAACTTATGATTAAACAGCAATGGAAAGCCAAGCAAATGATAGATATCTGATTTATAGAACCATACTCACCTCATGCCCACGACAGCTAGCTAAGCAAAAAGCAGTTTCCATGGACCAGATTTTTACAAGGCGATCGTCTGAACCAGTGACAACATATCTCCCTGAGCGATCAAATATTGCTGCAGGATTTACATCAAGGCAATTTTAGGTATAAATCCAAAAATATCAAGAAAAATTAAAGAGAAAATGCATATGGTGCAATGTACAAGATGCAGCTTGATCAGTGTTTTATTTCATTACAGATTTTTGGCAGACACTAGTCACGATTATGACTTGTGAGTTTTCCCTAAGATAGGAACATAGACTGCATAATCCAATTCCATAAAAAATTGCTGTAAAACCCATACCACAATAGACAGCATTACGATGTCCACGTACTCTCTTGACATTTTGCATTTTCTGTACCATGGTTGATGGTTTTGCAATTGCATAGCATGCTGCACGGATAGATGGTGCACGATGGTGTCTTGCAAAACCACCCCCAATTTCCCTCAAACTTAACCCACGAACCTGATCAGCATGTCTATGAGGCCATCGCATGTGAGCAGGGGGATGCTTGACTTGGCCATTTCCCTTATCTCTATCACCTGAGGAAGATGAGGATGCAAAATTAGACCCAAAGGATAATTTTACATCTTACTAAACTCCAGCTAAAAGTAGACAAAGAACTCTACAATGTCCTTACGAACAGAATATATCACAACAGCATAAAAACCTCATACAAATACAAAAGTCAGATTGTCCTTTCACTTCAGAACTTAAAACAATGTAACCTACAATTCAAAAGTGAAAATGAACCCATTCCCAGAAGGGTAGGAACATCAGCAGCATTTGGAGCATCACCAATCAAAACTTCTGATGAAGAGGCTGTATTGAGCAACAATTGCTTCAAAAGCTTGACCAAGTGATTCTTCTCAATATGAGGGTACCTATATACATATAATTAATGAAAGGTCCAGTCAAAGATAGTTTGAGGCAAAAATTTAACAAAATATGATGTACATTATACATCCACATAAATGCAGACAAAATTTTACGAAGGAAGCCAGGACCATAATTTGAAACCATTTTTCAATTAACCATATATGTAGGCTTAGGCAATTTGTCCCCACAAAAGCAACGCTGAGTGTAATTGTGTGTGCTCACACATATGTGAGAGAGAGAGATAGAACAAATTGCATACCGCTCCTCCAAACTATTGTAACTTAATGGAAATGATAGACCATTATCATTTTCATCTCCACTATGTGCTCCACTTCTTGCATACCAAGCATGATATCTTCTAGGTAAAAGTTGATGTTCAAGAAGTTCATTCCAAAACTGTACACATGTTCTCTGGCATGGCCCAGCTGAAAGAAAATGCATAATTAAGAAGTAAACTTCACTAAGCTCAACATCCACATCTTTCACCCTTCTGAGAGTTGTCTCTGGCTCTGCAAGTTGAGCATTCTCGCGCCCCTTACTGGAAAAGCTCAAAGGCTTCATACTACCTGAAGGTGCATCACTCGAAGGAATGTACTTCCGAAGAGCCATATTTCCTGTAATTCAAGAAACGGAAAAAGAAAAACTTCAACAAACAAGTAAATCAATTCTCAATTAAAAAAGAAAATCTAAACATTAAATGGAATCATTTACTATACAGGATAGTGGAACTTGATCAATCCTATCAAATTAAACATATTTATAATATTTAAACTGTCCATATAAAAAACAAGAATTTTTGGTTCTCAAACTTTTGTGCTTCAAAAATAACATCAAATATTTTATTCTAGGGTTGAATAACGAAAATTGTTGCTGGAAGTGCCTGAAAATCGAATTAAATCTGAATATGCCTGGAGTGGGACATCAGCCTTTGATGGGTTATTTGCTTCCAATTTAGATCCTATTAAAGACTTTTGCACTGTATAAACATTACAGATATTTGTAAGACTTGCTTTGATACACACACACACACACACATAATAAAAAAGAGTCAAAAATTATTCTAGTGCTAAATGATTTGTATAATGAATTTCTAATTGATTGATGGTAGAAGAATGATTCGCGATTTTGTTTTATTAAAACATTCATAAAAATAATAAATTTGATTGATCGTCAATTAGGACATGGGTCCTATAACTTGCAACTAAACTTCAATAAATTTTATGATTTCTTGATTATTACAGTATTTTGTAATGCTTGTCCCTACTGATTATAGTAAAATGTTAATTGGCTATAAAATATTTTTATTTTAAAAATAGGTTTTCATTGGTAATAGTGGAAAGTTATGAAGCACAAATTTGATTTATTAAATTACTTACAATGCAATTAGATTTAATTGATTCTACTACATGCATGCATAAGGTTTCTAATCCATTATTAATGCTAATCTTTATAGATTTCATGTATTTCAATAATGTTTTACAAATTTATATTTAAATATTCAATTCAATAAAAAAAAAATCCTAACAGTATAGCATGTCACTCTTTCTCAATCCGTTGTATAATCCACCCAGAATGAAATTCAAAAGATAACATAATCATACATCAAGTCCATATATAAACAAATTTTGAAGTTTAAATTCAATTATTCATCATTATACTACAGTAATGTAAGAAATTACTGGATCAAGTTTTAAAAAAAATTCAAATCGTTCAGAAATCATATCCTATATTTAACAGGCAAAACTCATCATTTGGGTGTTCTTATCAGTTAGTAAATTTGCAGCATGCGTTTATAATGTGATCCTTTGCATCCAAATTGTGTCAAACATGGGCTATTTGACCTCTCCAATTATAATTAGAAACAGTAATTTAAATTGTTTGACATGCATCTTTTAATATTTTTTATCCAGTGTGACAAAAAATTGCACCATAGAAGATGCCATTCCCTAAAGAGTGATGCCCTTATCCCTCCGTCATCAGCCCTCATGCTCCAACCAAATTAACCACAACTAAAATTGCAACCACAAAATCACAACAATCACCACCTATAGTGAAACTATGAGCCGACAACCACAAAATCCAGAGTCGCCAGCACCAAATAAACCCCAAGACCTCCACATATACACACACAAACTGAACCTAGAAGGCAGTGATTAATTATAATCTTCTAGTCTATCTAAAATGACTAAACTTCAATCCATCCTAAATTAAAGGCCTTAATGATTGAGCATGTGAAAGAATATCCTTCCCATGCTTAACAGACAGCAAAGGCCATCCGCGTCAATTATATTTGACAAGCATCAATTTACCAATCAAACATAATACATCTGATGTTAATATCTCAAAAGCTATAAGATCAATCAAAGGGGCTCGTATCCATAACACCACAGTTAATGCTACCATCTCAAAAGCTCTTAAAATGCTAATTTGGATGCACTAAAAACATGATACAACCTGAAACCCAATTCCACCTTCCATCAATAGAATTTCAAATCTAATAATATATTCAAATAAGTAGAACCATTAATGAAAATCTTGACTGGTTAGAGAGATAACGGAAGTAAACCACAAACACCCCTCAGGCCCCCTATCTCGCAAACCATATCTGGACAAGAAAACACTAGGAAAGAAGCATAAAGCTTCCCTGAACAACCTAACGATGGAATTAACTTGTAATGATCAAAATCCATGATGATTATCAAGAGACTGTCATTCCTTCAAGACCACTATCAGGATATGCACAATGAACAACATATGTGTTGAGAAACTTTATGCACTGCAAATGTACTAGCGGTAACATAAAACATAATGAAGTCCATGATCTCTGATCTCATCTGATGCAGACACCAAAACAATCAGAATTCACGTGTTTTATCCTGATTAGCAAAGTGGGTATTTCTGTAATCTCTAGATCTGCTGAAAACTGTCTAGGTCTAGGCTTCTAGCTTATGTTTCAGTGTCCTATTAGTCCTTCATTGAAAACAAATCTTTTTAAATTGGTACAAAAGAATTTCTAACTCAAGAGTCTAATTCCCTGTTGGACTAAGCATTCAACTATCTAATATCACGATTTTTCTCTTTGCTAGACGGCTATCAAAGTTACCACCTAGAGTTTCTTCAGCACAAATTTTACAGAAAAAGTCCGTCATTTTTTTTTCTTTATTTCTATTTCTATTTCCACTTTGCCTACACTCACATAATCTTCTAAGAACAAGATACCTCCCAACTCTCAAGTGAGTCCTCGCTTGAGCTTTACTATATCAAGGTTCAGCTGAACTAGCCCAAAAAGGTACTTTGAAAAGCAGAAATAGACTTAAAAAAGAAAAAGAAAAACCTACAAGGAAAAAAAAGCAGAAGAATTGAATATAAACTCCTATCCCCCTCCTCGTGACCCCACAAAGCGTTCCCAATGCTTCAGTTACATTAGTGTTACAACCTTTAGAATTTCCCAGAATCCGCATAAGGTTCAACGAAAAAATTAAAATCAAACAATAATAATAATGAAAAAGCCTTTTCTCAACACACTCGCGTAAGCATAACAGAAGCACGCGAGCACACACGAAGAGCCTACACATTGACCAATAGGTTTACAATGCCACATACTAATAAATTAATAATCAATAACTAAACCCTGATGTAAACAAATTGTAAGCAAACAAAAGAACGACGTGGAACCTGATGTAATGCGAGAGATAAATCAACCAGAGGAGATTCTTGTACACTTTTGAAAGCCAAACCAGCAAAAATCCAAATGCATCCCTCTGTACCACCAAAAAACCAAGCCCTAATTTCAATTTCTCCCGATTCACAATCAAATACATACTAATATCCAAAACAAACCTCGCTGAAGATCGAATTCAACGCATTCGCTACATTCGCTATAACTTTATCTACTTCCTCGTTAAAGAAACAAAAACCCACATAATGACATAAACCAAATTAGAAATAACAAAAGAATGTTATCGTAGGGAAATACCTTCAAAATTTGAAGCAAAACAGCAGCGTTTTGGAGGTTCTACTTGTCTTGGCTTTTCTTTTATTTTCCCTTCTGGGATTGAAGGAGAGATCAAGACGTTAAAGAGAGAGTGGAATTAGGTCGCATTTGAAATTAGGAGAGGATTGGTGAGTGCAGGGGACGCGCGAGAAAGTGATTTAGATTCTTGGAGAGAGCTCTGTGTGTGTATGTGTGTGTTTTTTCGATTCTTACTTAGTTAAGAGAGATTAGGGAGATAGGTAGAGAAGAAACGGAAGGAGAAGACAACATTGAAACGTAGCGTTTTATAACTTTGCGGCTACTCTTTTTCTATCTCTACAGATGCTTTGAGAGAGCAAATTGAAATAAAGAGAATATAATATATAATATTTGGGATTATCTGCTGGTCGTGGGTAGAAACGGCGCCGTAAGGGTTCTGGGTGTCGATAGATTGCGATGATGGCCTCTAGGTGAACTCTTTTTTTTTAGCACCAAAAGAATAGATAGATATTTATTTGAGGTAAATAATAAACTTAGTACTTGTATTTTTTAGAACCTAATGAATGTCTCTCTTTTCTTTTCAAAATAATAAGCTAATTCCTTCACTGGTTTTGGCCGTCAATTTATTAGGTTTTTAGCTCATAAAGGACTAAATAGTGAGGGTTTTTATAATAAAATCATATTCAAAAATATTAATTTTTGATGAATGTGAACATACAGTTTTGATATTGTGTGCATATTTTGTGTTTTCAAACAAACAAAAATTTTGAAAACCACAATGATAATAATGAACATAACCTAACTTATCGGTTTGAAAAAAAAATGCAAGGACTAAGTTATATTCACATTTTTTTTTCTTTTCTCAAAAAAAAAAAATGTCTTGATTGGTTCTTATTTTTTTTATTTCCATTTCCATTTTCACTCAACATGCCAAATATGATGATAAGCCCGTTACAATCAAATCACATATGTAACGATGGTTTTGGAGCTTAACATGGAAAAGGTATAACAAAAAAACTAAAGGACATGGCTTGTTTAGCCGTAGACATTTAATGATAATGAAAATATGCCCAACAAAATATTTTTTTGTGCAGCCCTAAAAAAAACATAATTTTTTCAAAAGAGATACTATTTCACCAATCGAATCACAAGTATCTAACATATTCATATCTAATGATTTTTCACAGAGTGATGATAAAAGTTCATACAAATCTTGTCATTTTCAATTTTACTTTGATCCATTCGAGAATCACTATCAATTTATACTTTTTTACTATCCAATATGAAATAAATAAATAAAATAACAACTAAAAAGAAAAAGTAAAGTGTCGTAGATACCTTTAGAGTTCGAATCAAAACGATGGTGTTTTGTAGGTTTTGCAAGCAATGACTTTCGTTTCTTTTCTTCTTTTACCGGATTGAATGGTAATCCACAAAAAATAGAAGAGATACTGAAAAATTAATTTAATTTTTGAAATTGTGAGAGAATTGGCGAGTTTAGGAGACAATCCCGAAAGTAATCTAGGTTATTAGAAGATGTTTTTTACGAGTGTTTATGTTATCTAGATCTGTTTGGCTTCTAAAGAAGGAAAAATTATAGAGACGAATAGAATATAAATGATAGACGAGAGAATAA